ATGGGCTTTCTCACGGAGGGTCTAGGGAACAAAATAACCACCAAAACCGGAAAATAACAACCCTTACAAAAACTGATATCTGATATACGAGACTGCCGGCAACTTGATAAACAGAGGAGGGCCTCAGAAATAGGGTCAGTAATTTCCCGGGGGAGTGACCAAACGCCCCAGATCACTGTATGGACCAAACAGACAAACTAGCCTCCCCTAACCCCGCAAACAGTAGACTGGTATCCAGTCTATCGTGGTTGGGGCAGGCTGTCTTCGGGACCCTAGTAGTTTTCCCCCGCCCAGCTCAACAGTGCCCCTGGGAGTCTTGCATGCATCTGTAGAACTAAGAGCTTTGCTAATAGAGTTTTGTACGCCAGAAGTTGATGCCGTGCAAAACCTACCAGGGAATACCGGTAACCTAGCTGAGTCAGGCGGTGAAGAACCCCTTCAGTCCCCACAAAAAAAAAAAATTGTTTCCCCATGCAGACAAACTCCCCTCCACTCACCTCCGTCTCCAGTTTGCCCCACTTACGCAACTGTGTTTACACTGCTTTTGACGGTCAGTCACCCGTAACTGTGACCTGACACACTTACATATCAAGTAGTCCCCCTACTACTGAAGCAGATGTTAGATTGGTCAGTTGTAAAAGTTTCTGGCAGGTTGAATTATCTGGCCGTGTAAAGTTTAAAGAACGGCCTTTTTTTCTGACGGTGTCAGTTCTCTGTGAAAATGCAGACGACCAAAAAACTTTACAAATGTTGTATAAAAGGACCAAATGTATTTACAGGCAAACGTATTTTATAAAGGTGTAGAATATGTGTATTGTATTGCGCAACCACTAAAGTGAAACAGTGTCTTGGCACTCTGTCTAACAGTTTTATACGCTTTATTTTTTACACAGGTTTGAGGCGGACGGAGTCAGAAACAGCGCTTTTTAAGCACGGAGGATCTGGCAAAATCTGGCCTGAAAATCTGGCCAGATTTGCCAACCAACATGTCGTCATTTTTAGAACCATTTTACGCGTTGGTTTGTTACGTACTGTTAGTCACAGTTTTTTCGCTGTACTTTCATATTCGAGGTCCTTGCTGTTAATTCTGTACCGCAAAATTATCATTAGGCCACACCGCCTTAGTTTAATGGATGACATCCTTTGAAGACCCCCGAACTAATTAATGCGCGCGGGCGAATAAAAACATTCCAGGCAAAAAAAAATGCTACTAAACCACAGGAAAACAAAGCTGCTATTGTGTATTTGCGGCAGTACTTAGCGACGTTTACGTATACGACAAGCTAGCACATGCTGTCTTTTGCGGGATTTATGAATCGGCACTGTACGTAATACATGTTCGTACTGAGTGAGTAGCGGAGCTTCGGTAGCCTGGGTGCCTGGCTCCGTATTGACGCCTATTATGACTAAGCCAGGCCAGAGCCTTGGAGGACATAATCTTTTTTACCTTAAATAAGAAAAAAAATCACCAGCTTTCTTTTTGCTGCACATGTCGCATCCGCGAACATATACATGTAGTTCTCGAACCGCTAATATAAAGGAATCTACAGTACATATTACGTGGAGTTGGAGCTACCTGCAGAGTTATAATACAGGCTAAGTAACCATGAAAAGTACGACATCTTTTTATATTCGTACGTACCAATAGTGTTAGCCTGGTATCCAGTCTTACGTGATTGGGGTGTTGGGGTGTTTGGGCAGGTTGTGCCTTCGGGGGATCTAATAGCTTCCCCCGCCCAGTGCAACAGGCCGTCCCGGTAGGAGACATATACACATTCATGAACTTGGACACTTCCACAAGCACACAAATTTCTGTTTCTTTGCGCGGAAATAGTCACTAGCCCTGCAAACAATGATACCATATAGCGACAAACATCGTCGTATTAGAGTGGGTCAGGGTTTAGGTAACATTAAACACTGATTCGTATTTTAGGTGCCGTATAGGTGAAGGGGGTTATAGAAGCGATATGTTTGATTAGAAGAATGTAATGCCAGCTTTAATTCTGATAACAATACAGTAAGCAGAATTTTTGGTAACAGTTTTTTTCCAGTAACA